TTCAGTAAATGGACAAAAGTTGTTGGTATCAAGTGGATGGCACATTTTGAACACAAAAGTGGATAAGAAAAGCTAGTTTACGAGGAATCGGAAATCGCCCACCATAGAGTAGCACATCGCCATTCCTTGACTGCTCAGTTTGCAGGAATGATTAGCTTCCGAACCGATATATCGTCAACCGACTGACACAGATGGGACACAGTACTACAATTCCGATCTCTGTGTTTCACAGATAAGGCCATGTGCACAGAGAAAGAAATAGACAGTAAGATAATTCCTGGATAGTGGACACCCAAAACCGGTAGTGAAAGCCACGTTTCACAATATGCTGAAATCACATTGAAGATATACAGCGGAATGGATTGGGACGATAAGAATATTATAGGTAGAAGGAACTACCTTTTTCTTTCCGACGGCACTAACCAAGGAATAAAACTCGGGATCTGTTCAACAATGGTGTATCTGAAATACACACTTTCCGTAGATAAGATGACTAACGATGTTCACAAATGTATTCACAATAACTGTGAATATGTGTGTAAATGAGATACCGCGAGCGAACTGCACACAACGCTGCTGGAACACCTGAGGCGCATTTCACGACGACGTCTAATGCTCTACTGTGAGATTCAGCGGTGGTGACGCACCTGTTAGATACGGTGCATGTAAGGTGGCCAGATTATTGATGAGCCGAACCGAGACGCTTCCAGATTTCTTGCACGGCAAACCGAGACATTTAACCTACCCCCGTTTGTTTCTGCATATGTTGATCGTTCAATATATTGAAAAGATACATATCTACATTTCTTGCTTCAATGCAATTATAAAAAGCACTTGCGTTATTAGTCAGTACAATGGCTACGCTACTGAAGTTTTAAATAAATAAATAAATAAATGGAATATTCCCGCTAGAAGGAGGCATACAAGTGAAGGCAGGACGAAATATACCTACAAACATAGCTGCTTTGGAACAGTAAAAGGTGTGGTTAGAATAAAGTACAACCAAAATTTTCGTCGTTTACTCACTTAAGAAATTCGTGGATTAATAGTGGGATCCCAGAACATTATGGCGCTGGTTTGCGAAAAAAGCAAGTTTATTACTATTGTGGCAATAGCCAACGGTCGGCATGATTTCGCCATGTTGTAATCCATGATTTCATGAGCATAGGTCTGGGCGCTGCATTAGCATGTCGTGAAGTTGTTCGCAAGGATACACGACACTCTTTTCTTCAGAACTGCATTTCACCACAAGTATTGCTTTCAGTGTTTAACCGCTAAACTGCGTTGTCCAGAATCTACTTCGATTCAGTAAACTCCGTAAACTCCTATACAGGCATGTTAATGGCTTACATAAGGGACAACGCAGAATTCTAGTACGGGTCTGACTGACGAGCGCAAGCGATCAGCAACGGAAGCAGCCGATCTCTTGCGGTTCCATTACTCACAAACGTTCCAAAGAAGAACGGGCACAACGGTTATCTCTGTTCCTATTGTCCCACTGTCAGCTGTATCCAAGATCACTTTTATTGCAAAAATCTGTAGTCCCTGCGATCCACAGCCCTACAGGTGTCCATAACTTTCGATCGAAGGCTTTACAGGCAACAGCTAGTGATCTGGTTGAACCTCGGGCTATATTCTAGCATTGCTGTATGGAGGAGAAACAAATCTCAACCATATGGAAGCGAGGAGTCATCACTCATATTC